CTGCCGAGGCAAAACCAGACGTGATTTCCTGTTTGTGTCCCGTGAACTTGCTTCTCTGTTCCTGTCTTGTCATGTTGAAGATGAGTCCCTGTCTGACCACTCCTATTTGGTTGGTGAGTTCCAAGGTGGCCCCCAAGCGTTCACCCGGTTTGTGTGGCCAACTCCTGACCCTATGGAATGGGAACCTGCCCAAGATAGACAGCCCGTTCAAGCACAGCTCTTCTGCTCAGCTGCCAGTGCTACAGAGGACTACCATCACTTTTGGAAAGCAGTGGAATCCAACAACATGCACGCTAGACGCCAAGCCCATAAACCTTGCATCCGTGCCATGACAGGACGTGCCTCTCAATCCGGTCCTGTCGAACGCACAGGAACCATGCCCCCAGTCAAGGCTAGTAGGCCAGGTGATCGACAGCCGGCTTTCCTTGGGTCTTGCTTGCAACATGCTCAATGGACTAAGCAGTACCGTCGCCTCCAGTCGTATGTCCGTTTGGTTGCGTCCTCTGTCCCATCAGCTGCTCACCGAGCCCATCAGCTTCAGCTTTGGACTTCGATCCGAGGGGCTCATGGATTTCCCCCCTCCTTTTCTGCTTGGTGGACGTCCAGACATCTCCGTGTTGGCGAGCCTGTGGTGGTCCCTGTCCAGCCCCCAGCGCATCTGCAAGCAGTGTTGTTCCTTGGTGCCATGGACGCTGAACTTCGTCAGCTGGAAAAAAGCCTGAATGCCTCCAGGTCGCATGCCAAACGCCTCCAGAAAGCGTCCGACGTGCATGCCATGTACCAGTCAGTCAAGCGTGATCCACCGGTTCAGGTTGACTCGTTGGCGGTCACTCGTCAGGTCGAAGTTGTGGAAGTTGATGCTGATGACTCTGCTGTGGTCCTTGCCCGTCCTGTTGCCTGGCAGCCTGATGCCCCCGTTTTGCATGGCTCCACTCCCCTGTCAGTGATTCACTTTGAGGAAGACAAACTTTGGCTGGAATCTTGTGGCTCGATCGCAGTCGGTGATGTCCTAACCCAGAGCAAGCAGATTGGCAAACTTGAGGACCTGTTCCTTGCTTTTGAGTCGCAGTGGTCAGCACTTTGGAATAGGCATGTCGATGTCCCAGCCTCCCAATGGGATCAGATTGTCAATTTTGCAAAAGCCAACCTTAAACCTGTTGCACCTTCGAAACCTACCTTCTCGGTTGGGTCTATCCGCAGAACAATCCAAAGCAAGAGTAAACATGCAGCAACTGGTTTGGATGGTGTCAGCCGTGCCGACCTTCTGCAGTTATCAGACCCTGACCTTGCCACGCTCAGCCTGGTGTATCAACTCGCCATCACTTCGGGCTCTTGGCCTCAGCAGGTGCTGCAAGGGTACGTCAGGTCATTGGCCAAGGTTGAAGATCCGAGTGAGGTGGGCCATTTCCGCCCCATTACTGTTTTCAGTACAGTTTACAGGACATGGTCTTCAATCTCAGCGCGACATTGGTTAGCTCAGCTCAGTACTGCAGTGGACCCTTTCTTGTGCGGGAACACCTCAGGGTGCAGAGCAGGTATGGTCTGGAGATTTGTGTTACAACAAGTCGAAGCAGCACACCGTGGCAATGGAAGTGCCTGCGGCTTTTCGGCAGACATTGTCAAAGCCTTCAATATTCTGCCCAGAACCCCAGCACTGGCAGCGGCAAAGTTGATGGGAGTGGATCATGGTACACTCCTCGCGTGGGCCGGAGCTCTTGGCGGTTTTCATCGACACTTTGTTGTCCAAGGCAGTTATTCGGCGGGTGTCTCCTCAACCAACGGTTTCCCAGAAGGTTGTGCCCTTAGTTGCGTTGCCATGCTTGTCCTCACGGAGCTCTTCCACAAGTGGCTGCAGAGCACCAACATGCTCTTCCGACCGGTCTCCTATGTAGACAACTGGGGGGTGTTGGTGCATTCAGTTGAGGCAATGCAACAAGCCTGTGATGCAGTTGACCGTTTTGCCAAAGCGTTGTGCCTGGACTTGGATGCAAAGAAAAGCTACTGCTGGGCTACAGACGGACCGAGTCGTCGACGCCTCCGGGAAGCTGGTTTTGTCGTTTTGTTGCACACCAGGGAACTTGGGGCCCATGTTGTGTATTCCAGACAGCTCGCTAACAAAACCTCTTTGGATCGCTTCAAACAGCTGTCCGACTTTTGGGCCAAACTGTTGGCGTGTCCGTGCACCTTTAGACAGAAGGTTCAGTTGATCCACCGAGTTGCTTGGCCTAGAGCAATGCATGCAGTTTCTGCCGTGGTGGTTGGGAAGAAACATTTTGATGCCTTGCGCACGGAAGTGATGCAGTCCCTCCGTCTCCAGAAGCCTGGTGCTAGCCCTATGCTCCAATGCTCACTTGAAGGCCCTACCTTTGATCCTTTGGTTTTTGCTGCGTTTGAGACCTTACGTGATGCTCGCGCCCTCACCGCACGAGCCCAGGTCGAAGTGGATTTCACCGTTGGACTGTTTGATGAAGACCGGCCGGAATACAATTCACTCACCGAAATCCTCGGTCAGAGGTTGCACCAACTTGGTTTTCAGCTTGGCCGTGATGCGCATGCGGTTGACCCTATTGGTTCGTTTAGCATTTTGACTTGTCCCATGCAAGAACTGACCATGCGTGCCCAGTGGACCTGGACTTCGGTGGTTGCCCACAAAGTTTCCCATCGGCCAAGCTTTCGTGGATTTGAAGGCGTCGACCTGCTCCACACCCGTCTGGCCTATCAGTCTTTTGACCCATACGACCAAGGGATAATCCGAAAGTTCCTCCATGGAGCTTCTTTTACAAATGCCCATGCCAAGCACTGGTCAGAAGATGGTAGCGAGCTGTGCACTCTGTGCGGGGGAGTGGACTCTGTCCGGCATCGTCTATGGACTTGTCCCGGCTCCGACTCTCTTCGTGCCCAGCTGTCTGACGATGTCATTGTTGCCTCGCACTCACAACCAGCAGTGCTGCTTGAACATGGTTGGACTTTGCGTGCCTCGTTGGCCTTGGCTTGGTTCCGATACCTTGATGCCTTGACAGTCCCCCCCGTTGACCCCTGCTGGGCTCCGGCTTGTCCCATTTTGGACATGTTCACTGATGGGTCTTGTCTGTTCCCGAGGTACCCTGACTTGCGTATGGCGGCGTTCTCTGTGGTTTGCTCCAAGCCTTTCCAGCTTTCTTACGACCAATCCTGGTTCCAGCCTGTCGTTGCTCAACCTCTTCCTGGTCTCGTCCAAACCGCATTCCGAGCGGAGTTGATGGCTGTCATTGTGGCGATGCAGCATGCTCTTCACGCCAAGGGATGTGTCCGTATTTGGACAGACTGCCTCAATGTGGTCAAAGCGTACCATAAGTATGTTCTGGATGGCCGACAAATCAAACCCAATGGCAAGAACGCTGACTTGCTTACCTGGTTCCATGATCTCGCAGTGCAGTTGGGCCCTCAGAGACTTGCCATCCTCAAAGTGCCGGCTCATGAGAACAAGCATGATTATGCCAATGACCTTGAACGTTGGTTGGTGGAGGGCAACTCTGCAGCCGACAAAGCTGCTGATGCCGCCAATCGGCTGAGATCCCCAGCCACTTGGAACCTTTGGACTTCGTATGCTGACCAGGTGCATTTCAATCAGACTCTTGCCAATGCCATCCGTGCTCACATGATCGCAGTCAGCAAGCTCTGGAATGCCAATGGACCAGAGCACGTCCGTGCCAGCGTCCCACAGCCATCTCGACCTCTTCGTCCTGCTCGTGCGTTGCCGGACTTGGTTTGGACTGGACCTGACCCGTTGGACTTGCAGCATCCGACCTTTGTCCGTCTTTTCGGTAGGCAGCTGGCTTCCGATGTACAGGCGTGGCTTGGGCAGGTCCGGGATGGAAACCAACAAATTCAATGGATCTCCTACTTTCAGCTGTACATCAGTTTTCAAAAACGTAAGGGCCCCTGGTTTGTTGGTAAACCCAATGGCAAATGGCATGTGGAATCCGGACCTGCTGCCCTGCTGATGAACCATGTGAAACTTTCAGTGCGCATCAAACATTTCAGATTGATGCTGCAGCAGTTCCTCAAAGACTGCGGCGTGGTTTTCACCACCGGCACAGTCAGACCTGTTAGTGAATGGTTGAAGTGTTTTCGTGGTGCCATCGGTTTCCAATTTGTCACCACGGAGTTTGATTTTGTGGAAACTTGGTTGTCATCAAAGTTGACTGTGCCGGTCACAGGGGCAGGCCAGTCGATTGATGCCATTAGGGGTATCTAGAGCGCAAAGATCGCCCGACGCTGCGCCTGCCCAGCTCGGATCTCGTGCGCCAGGAGCAAAAAAACAGTTTTTATTGTCCATTTCATAATTTTTTCAAGATGGTTAAAACCACCAACCAGTTTTGGGTTTTGTTACTCTAGGAAACCATGGCTTTTTACCATGAAATATTGGGGTTTTCCTGTAAAAGTTCCCAACAAAACCAATCCATTGAGATTTTGGCTGACGGGCCCCACGGCCTCCAGGATTCTGGCTGACTTGGCGTCCGAAGATTCCAGTCGTTTGTTGTCCAGCTTCCGTTGTGTACTCAAAGGAGACCGAAGTGGGAACCCGAGTGGTGGGACCGAGGACCAAAAAATACCACCAAAATCAAAGGTGGCGCGGAAATCCCCGAACTAGCCATGGTTTCAATGTGGTTTTTGGCGGTTCTATTGGAATCTATTGGAAATGATCATATAAATGGCAGATGTGCCGGCTTTGATTACGGGAGGGTAACCCATGTTCTTAATCCCGAGGCTTGGAGAAAAAACAGGCGAGAGAGGAATGCGACTGGCACAGGTGAGGTTCCTGGATCAGGTCCTTAACCCATCCCCCTTGTTGCAAGCCCCCGTCCCCGACATGGTCTAAACGCTAAACTATAGATTTGAACGTTCAAAACTTTTTATTGACGAGCCCCTTCACAATCAAGGCTATTGGGATTCAGGATAGTTCAGTTGCATAATCTATGTACCAAAGTCTTGGGTAATCAGCTGCCCTTCTATCACAGGAGTTTGCGAAGGAGAAGTCGTTTTGGACAGCACTTGCAAGTTCGTTGGCAGGAGTTGGCGAACCGACCCCCCTCTAGAATGACCCTGGAGCATCATGGAACATCATAGAACTCTGGAAAGATGGAGGATGATGAGTTTTCGTGAGATGACCCCCGCACGAGATCATTTGGAGTATATAAGTCTCAGCTTGCGGACAATGTTTCAAGCGGTAGATGAGGAATCCATTCAAATTCCGTATGTCTTCCACTGTGCTTGTTGTTAAGGCTTATTTTCCACATTTATCTTGCTCAAACTATGCTAAACATGTCATATCATGTTGTGTCCTTTGTCTTAAATGGAGCATTTTGTTCACCGCAGCCATAGCTCCATGTTTGCTCCATGTTTCAGGACGGAGTGCTTGGAGCAGTTGTTAGGCCTGGCACCGGAAGAACTCACCTCAAAGACGTTCGTCGATTTGTTGCAGGATGAGGACGGGAGCGCCACAGTAACCATGCTGACCATGCAGGGATGGAAGCAGCAAGCAGCATGGCAAGATGAGGAGGTGGCTCATTTCACATGGGGTCAGCTATGAATGAACAATATTTAGGATGCGTTAGGCACATTTAGGCACGACGTCATTTAGGAGTTTGCTCAATCTCAGGCACCAGGGCATCACTACAGCACCAAAGCTCCAAAGCGTTTTCGTGGAATCCCCCAGCGCCCAGTGTTGCCTTCATTTTGAATGCCATGTATTTTGCAGACTCAGTTCCAACCAAACTCTTCAACTTGGAGTCACCTCGTTGCCAGCAGGACAGCCATCAAAAGTTCTCTCAGTTCATAGCAGCGAGTGAGGAAACTGCCTCAACCCCTGCAGGGCTGCGGGTGTCGTTTCAAACAGCCCATGGTTCCTTGATTCCATTGATGCTGAACGTTGTGTCTATTTATTTTGAAGGACATGAGTCTCCCAAAAAGACAGATAGGTAGGTCACTAAGTCACCATATATAATGACATGAGCTTTCGGGGATCATCAGGGCTCACTCTCTTTCCGGGACAAGTTGTGGACATTCTTGAAGTCCAGCTGCATTTGGCGAAGCACGGGTGCCACATTTCGTGCCAGGTAGCCCGTGCTCAGTAGATCTTTTCCATGTCCTGGTGCCCAATCTCTTCCAAGAAGATGGTCAGGCCGAACCTGTGCAGCAGTGCAGCAGTGTTGTGTTTGTTGTCATTGATGACGAGATTGGTGATGGTTATTATTACATATAACTGTTATTGTTATTGTGATTTTTTGTTATTGATTATTGTTACAGTATTGTTTTTTTTGGTTATTTTTGTCTTTTACACACTCACACACATATATATATATAATACATACTGTGCTTAATTATTATGCTGATGATGCACACAGAATTCCGTGCATGAAGGAATTCTATCCCGCAACACATGGGACGGGAGAATGGGATGCACTTTCCAGGCCTTTGGGCTGTAGCCGTTTGAAGTCGTATTCCTTCCCATCCCACAAATTTCCGCGACCCTTGAGTATATGAATCAAAACCGGCACTTGAACATTTCGCAATTGCATCATACGTATTCCAGTCGTGATGGATTTACACTTCGTGGGTGCACAGCTTCGGAGGCGCAGCATCTTATTGTTTTGAAAGAAGATGCCGAAAGCAGGATCCGACGAGCAGAACCCGATGGGTCCCGTGGCACGAACGCGGTCATCAGCCTGGGAATTTTGTGGTTTCATCAACGGTAATTTCATATAGTATAGTATAGTATAGTAAATATATATATATATATATATGATAGTTACAAAAGAAATCATGGCTCTTGTGGTAGGTGCTCCGATTTGATCAACCTTAACCTCAGCTTTGCATTGCTAGATATGTGTTTGTCGATGTAAGAGAGTACAAGAATCATGATTTATTACGGTAACATATATATATATATTATGTTCACTGATTCATGACCGACCCCTACACTGGTTCATCAGTTAGTCGGAATTCCCAGCACCCAGCGGTGCAGCGACAGGGAAGCCTGCGACATCATCCGGGATTGGCACGCTCGAAGGTTGGCCTCTGAAGGTCCTTCCTCCGAAGGCGGGGCATTTTGACACAACGGCCAGGTTTCGACGATACGAGACGTGTGCGGTTCACTTGCAACAATTAAGGAGGGTAAACAAAACGGTCTGCTTCAGGATGTTGCTGGTTTACTGGGCTGTCACTTGACGGAAAAAACTAGAGTTTCCAACTGGGCTGTTGAAAAAGTTTTTCTGTTTCCTTGTGGCGGAAAATGTAGGCTTGCAAGAGGATTCCCGTTGTGCAACATTGATCCCGAAACTTATTTTCAGATTTTACGGACGGACAAACAAAAGTACCCGATTGCGGATCGTCGCGACTTTCAAAACCACCATTGGGGTTGGTAACCCAGCAATTTTGATGGTTAACCCTTTGGTAAACTAACATAGCTATTGATTTACCTATTAAAAATGGTGGATCTTTCATGATCTTTCCATCGTTTTTTGGGACTGTTTACCATTTCGGGCAACCAATGTGAAAACCGCTGCCAGGTGACACTTTGGACGTTTACGAGGAACTTCAATGTATGACTTTGCTGGTGAACCCTGAGGACTTTGGCCGCTCGGACCGTAGAGCGCTGAACCCGAACGTTTTCCCATGACGATGTATGAAACACGTGACATGGTGCGAGACGGTGGTGAATCCAGAGGAAGTATATAAGTATGATATAAGATGATATAAGTATATGTGAAGTATGATATGTGATGTTTATAGAGGAAGTCGTAGAGGAAGTAGAAGATATGGAATGAACCTGGTCAAAGTTTGAAAACAAGTTGGTTGGATAGACGCAGCCATGGCTGACCGCCAAAGGGGCACCTTTACGACCATTTGTATTTGTTTGTTGCCGTTGCCTTGCCACATTCGCTCACACGCATGTGTGTATTTACCTATATATATATATATATATATATATATATTTACCATTATTTACCCATCATATACCATATAATACGCGACGAAAACATATGAACATGTACAGGCAATCGCCATGCTTTAACTCCCTTTCCCACCTATGCTATGTCGGAAAACCTTTGATAACTTGCTGGCCGTGGGAATGTTCAAGCCCGTCCATCCATCCATCCATCCATCCATATTTATTTAAACGAGGGACGTATACATATATATATATATACATATTATATACACATACACATTTATTTACATGTAGCACATTGCATTCATATAGGTATACATATACATATGTTGCAATTTGCCTTGTTATGTGCACACATTGGTATATATATATATATTTATTGTTCCGTTTGGTTTTCGATTTCTTTACCAGCCAGTTACTATACCATCTATACCATACTCCATCATTATACCCTATTGTTGGTTCGCTTAATGTTTATTCCATTGCAATTGCTAGTGAAATCATACTAAATCATATAGCCTCTTGGAGTTGGCAGGCACAAATCCAATTATATCCCCATTTAAAACCCCCATGCCAAAATTGCCTTTGATGGTTAAAGTCCTAGGCCGGTTTCCTGGTTAAATCCCACTGGTCCGTTGCATCCCTCAGCTATAGATTGTTTCATAACCATTAAAGCACCATTAGACTTTCATTAGGCCCATTAATAATTAATCAAATCACCATTCTATCATCACATTTTCATCAGCTTTGGATTTTCTTAAGACAAATTAACTGTTGTATCACCATTAAATAACCTTTTTTGTTCATTGCCAGCTATGTTTCCGGATATTTTCCGACCTCAGGTGACATCGAGGAGGCGCATTTGAAATTCCAGCGCCAAAGCTCGGAACCACAGATGCGGCTGGGAATGCCCACGCTGAGGCGTCACTTGGCGACATGGGCGCGTGGGACCGTGGTTTCCTCGTTTGTGCGTTTTTTTGTGCAACGCGGTTACCGTTGGCGCGGTTACTTTACCGTTGAGGAAACTAACGTGGCGAACGGAAAAATCATCATTTATATATAAATCTTGATAATAGGTAAACCAAGGAAGTAATGGGTCATTTTCAACATGAATGTTAAATTACCAGAGGGTCATCAGGAAAAAAAATGGTGATTCAACCATCAAAAAAAAGGGATAAACCATATATATATATACACATATATTGGTTGATTGGTCAAGTGTTGGTTTTTTAACCGTAACCAGCAAGAATATTTACTTACCAACCAGTACAAGTGGATGGGATTGGAATATTTTTCATGGCTGAGTTGTTTTCAGGGTTTAGGAATGTTTACAAAGGATGTGTAGTAGTTTTTTGGGGGACCGCAGGGTTTGGGGTTTCGTCTTATACTTTGAAATTAATTAGTTATAACAAACCAACCATGCTGGCCCATGTTCTTTGTTTTACTCACAGGATTTGAACGAAGTTTTTGTTGCCCCATTTGCAACGGGTCCGGTGGAATGCTGGGGCTGCTAGCAGAACTTTGCCGATAAGACATGTTTTCATGGTTGTCAAGAGTTTTGGAAAGAGGCGGGCACCATTTTTATAGTGTCTATTGTTTGTTCTATTGTTTGTTCTATTTTTTGTTCCTTCCTTTGTCTCCCTTTATCTGTTTGTGCCTGTCATTTGCTGATGTTTGCTATGCATGAGTTAGCTGTTACAATCCTTAATGTTGATGATGTTTTGTCACTCGTGCCGGCCGTGCGATATTGTTTTTTTTTTCCAGTCTTTGCCGTGCAGAGTACAACCTTCACGTCCTTTTTTTCATATTATTCACATACTTGCCACATGTTATTTTGATTTATTTTATGTTCGGTCTCCATTCTTTCCCGGTGGTTTCTTGGTGTGTTTGTTTCTTATCAGAACGTGTTTGCATGGTGCCTTTTCTTATCGGACTGTTGTAGAGACCGTTCAACTCAGTATTTGAGACCCAACTTAACAATAAGTTCACAATTATTTTTCAAAGGAATCATTTCAAATGCAGTTGTTTGAGTCTGAAAAATCGTTCATCATATTTTTTTTATTTTGATAAGTTTTGTTTAAACAGATATCATGAAGGTTCATGAAATGCACAAGACTGATATAACTTCCGATGCCGCCCCACCAGTGGTCAGTCACTGAGAATTTTTCCAGTTCAGATCCATTCAGCCAGTTCCAAAGTCTCAACAGCACCGTTTTCTCAAGCGGATATTGCATCACCAATGTGTCTTCCATGTTAACCTAGATTAGTACTGTAATTGATAAAACCCAGTTTATTAACAGGGGGATGCCAATTTCAATAATCATTTATCACTCCAAAAAAGGGGAACCCAACAAGTAAAAGTCAGGGAACAGACGAATCCAAGGTTGACATTATGCCCTCTCAATTGTTTCGTGCGCTGAGGTGTTTTATTTTTTTTCCTGCGGCTACCGGGTCTCCTGAACTGTCCGAAAAAAAATGTGTTCCCCTCCTCAAGGTTTTACAGTCTCCACCGATTGGAGCAATCTTCGGCAGAAACTGCAGTTTTACCTTCAAGCCGTTCGAGAGCAACAAGCACCAGAGAGCATGCTCCTAGGGCCCTTGCTCTTCAGATTGCCAGGGGAATCCAGGACGGGAGACGGTTGAACCCAGTAACCGCGATTATTCTTCAAGTGCTGAAATATCAAAAACCTTCAAAAACCGCCACCATTGCCAAAATACAAACAATTGTGATAATTATGATATTGTGCGTATATGTATATATAATTATATCATATCTATTATCTAATATTATATATATATATGTATAAATTTGCATACACAGAATAATCATCAGCAACAGCATTATGATGATTATCATCAATCATCACCATCATCATCAAACATTGTGTGGTTCAAACTCGGGTTTCTGTACCAAGAGAACTGTATGTTCCTGCGGGCCGAAATCTGTGTTTGTTGCTTAAAACGAGGGCCCAAAATCAGTGGTTGGAGTTGGGTTCTTCTCAAAATTTGGAACCCCAAATCCATCGGTTTATCACTCTAAAATCCCCCATTTAATTGCGATCCTTTTTTTGCGGTAACCCCATGGTGAGTCAAGCCTATTTCAACTATAAAAATTGCCAATTCTTGACGCACAGAAAATCTCCATGGCTGATAAACCATGATGGAATCACCATCCGCAGGAGCTTTTTGCAAGCGAGACATGTATCTCTTAGCCCGGCTATGGGGCATGGACCTCCTCGTTTTTGGCTGCTGATGAAGGACTTCAATCCCACCAGGGTACGGAATCTAAAACTGTGCCTCAGAGAAATTGATGTTTTCATGCGATCCCAGGACATCTTGAGACATCCTGAAACCAAAAAAGGCCCAGTATGGTTGATAAGTGCTGGCATTCAATCAAAACATGTTTTACAGCGGTGTTGTTCGAAGTCCAGGAGCAATACGGACCTGTGCCATGGGTCATCATGGGGCATCCCCGAGGTCATCGACAAACATTTCTGTATTCTGCTATATTCTGCTGATTGTTTTAGTCAATCTGCAAGGGCAAAGGAACAACATCTGAATTGCCATACCTTGTTGCATACCTTGTAATCTTTTCCCCCTAGCTCTAAATCACCTCCAAACGAAACCCGGGTTTGGTATTGGATCTGTTCAGGCAATATGTCGTCGCAATGCATCGTCGTAGTGTGTCGTCAGACAATGTGTCGTCAAACAATGTGTCGTCACAACGTGTCATCAGGGGGTTGCGGTCATCGCATTGCTGTGCCGCAATGCGTCGTCAGAGCCAGGGTCAAAGTTATACCCAAGCTGCGGCCATTTGACAGTTTTGTGTCCCAAGCATTGGGGACATTGAACATTACAAGAATATTACATATATTAGGCAATATTATATATATATACTCTCTCTCTCTCTATATATATATACATGTATCCCCGCTTCATGCTGATCAAACCATAATAAACCCCATGAAAAAAACCATAGCTCTCCGCTGGTCCAGCCACTATATTCCCATGAAATACTTAAGAGTCAAAATTCACCCGGCTATAGGGTTACAGTATACCGTGATGCTTATGTTAAGATAGGTAATTCCTGTAATAGGATACTGTAATACCGGGTCATCTTATACGGTTAATTATACTTATAATAACTGCATATAACATCATATAACCGCTATCAAAATGATGGTCAATCCCCTTGTATCTTATTGCTTAAGCCATGGTTAACTGCAGCATTTTGAACCTATCGTCACCCTGGGACCTGGGAGTCCGAGGCAAGCAGACATCCGGGATTGGAGCCGTGCAGATCACCCGCAGCTGATGGCCGCAGTTCAGCCCGGGGCAACTGACTTTGCTCTGTGAAGATCCAGTTTTTTTTGTTTTTTTAAATACATGTAACATCTCCCTTGGAATTTCCTCTAGGAAATGGTGGTCCAGGACCCCACGATTCTTTAGAGATTTGGGTTTTAGGTGGTTTTAGGGGGATCATGTAACTATCCCAAAAGTTTAGACCATAAACCGACCAAAAAATGACAAAGGTGAATGGCCAAAAAAATGACTAAACGCCGATTGTGGGATTTTCCAGTCTCAGGCCCCAAAAAATAACAATTAATATATATATATATATGTGTGTGTGTATATATTGTTTCACATCCTGGAAACCCTTTTGGGCCTCTATTTGGGACCTATATGGACGTACATATTGGGTCGAACATGTTGACCCAGAGAAAGGCCACAGTTGAACACGTTTTATGATGTTCTATGTGTTTAAAACGTGGCATCAGGATGCTTTGAATAGTTCTGGGAGTTTGTTTTCTTCCTTGCTTTGAGTTGTACTTAGTGTGTTAAGGAAGCAGGCACGCGGCTAGACATGCTTAGACATAGGAATCATCAAATTGAGCATGTCAGCTGCTCCAGAGCCAGTCGGCCGCTGCGGAAAAATGCTGCAGGGAGCTCACTTCTTGTTTGCTTTCTTTGTTTCTTTTTCTCTCTCTCTCTCTCTCTCCTCATCTACCGAGCGACTATATGTATCAATTAATACAAGATTCTAGATTATGTGATACACAATATCCTACGTGTTGTTATGCACATATACTTAGATTATATATTATTCTACATGATGCTGCTGTACAATCTTCTCACCCGCCTTGGCCCGCCCCAAAGTGGCCCTAACAGAATGCATTTCCCATTGAATTTGAATTCTCCGAAGGTTATGTGTTGTGTCTACCACATGTTCGTGCTGTACGACCTAAATGTTGTACTTAATGAAAAAAGTAGTTGGTGGTTGCGAAAGACCACATAGCATGAGGCGCACTTACCATCGTAATTCTTCTTTGGAAAAATGGAAGAAGAAAAGAAGCAGAGCAAGTTTCAACCAGAATTGTTACGCCATCGCCATGGCATGTTCTTTTGCGTGTTTTCACCATTTTAAGTGTTTGGACATTTGTTTCCAACGTGACATCCTTGGCGCATCTTGGCCGAAAAATGACCAGGCTCCAGCGGTAGAGCCGATGGAGTCCCGTGGCTTTTCGGAATCTGCGGGGAAACTCAGAATGTGAGGAATGTTGGGGACCGTTGGGATTTGTGATGTATACTATCTAATTTATATTATATTATATATATTTTTATATAATTATGTGTGTGTATTTATATGCATATATAAATACATGTGTGTAGTGTGTAAATATATATATGTGTGTGTTTATATATATATATGTATATCTATATATTTATTTTTAAATACATAGATGCATGTGTGTGCAATATGTGTTTGGGTGGTGTGTTTCTTTTGATTTTATAGTATGTCTTGGTATGTGTCAAAAAAGGTGATAGAAGGGTGTCCAGTGTCCTGGGTGACCCCCAAATCTACGGGGTCCGCCACTTTAGGGAAACATGTTTTCTTTTTTTTGGCGGGGTGCTATATATATATTTAAATACAAGATTATTTTAATATGTATTTATATGTTTGGTTTATATTATATATAAAATGTGTTTTTTATATATACATATATATATATTAGTTATATATATGTGTTACTATATATAAGATTGTGTGAATATATATATATTTGTATGTATATCATATTTATATATAGTATACTGTTTAAATATTATATTATATAAGTACTATATTATGTATATATTAGGTTATATATGCATTTTATTTTGTATTTATTATATTAAATTATATATTATATTTTATTATATTATATTATAATATGTTTTATATTATGTTAGGTTATATTATATTATGTTATATTATATGTTTAACATATTATATTATATGTTTTATACTATAGTATATTATTGTATTTTTTATATTATATTATATGTTGTTATATTATAGTCTATTTTTTTTGATTATATTATATTATATTATACTATATTATACTATATTCTTTGTTTATACTATTATCTTATAATATATTTTTTTACAAAATATATTTTAATATGTTATATTAAATATGTATATTTTTATGTTATATAATTTGTTCTTTTATTTTATTATATTTCAGTTTTTCTTACTATATTTATTATATTTTTTGTGTCATCATATTATATCATATATATATATATATATATTTATTTCTTTTGTAGTTACATGTATTTTTTTTTTTATAACTAACAAATCAAACACTGGGATTGAACACTTGGAATTTCAAAGTTAACCTAGGTATGTTGTATACAAATATATATATATATGTGTTTGTACATATGTATATATATATAATACATTCATTTATTATATACGCACTACATGCATATCAATATTATATCCACATGCTTCAGTGGGGCCAACCTTTCGGAAAGGCAATTGACCGAACGGGTTGACCATGGGTTGATGGGATTTCACGAAGCAAACATTGGAATCAATCTTCAAGATATGGATAGACACACTGGTGACTGGAACATTGGTGAGTTATAGTGTGTTGCTCTCTTATGTCAATAGATTGGTTTAGTCGGGAACATCTTAACCGGAAACCGTATAGATTTTCCCATTAAGTATGGGGTTTTCCTGTTTCAAGTTTCCCTTAAACCAATCCATTGATTATCGGAAGGTGGACACGCCAACAAACGGATTTTCTCTGCGTTCTCTTTTGAGTGCTGCTATTTAAGAACACGGCCATGGGATTTGAAGCCTGGAAAACCTGTTCTTGTATCGGATTTGTTGTGTTTGTGTTTATTTTTGTTGCTGCTGCTGGTGTTGCTAATGTTACTGTTAGTGTTGTTGTTGTTGTTGTCGTTGTTGTTGTCTTGCTAGAGAGCACCATGGATCTATGCTAGGGAAAATGTAGGGGATCTTTTTCATGAATACCTCAAATGATTAGAATAGAATACCTTAGATTCCAACATAACAAAAGTAAATTTAGGAACAACTGTTTTGACGTGGCCCTTCCAACTCTGTTAGACTAGTATATGCCAAGATCATCGCCTGCGCGTAATGTGGTATGGGGGCATGGGGGTACATGTTTTGGCTTGGCCACACTGCATAGCTTCTCTCACCTTGCCTGGATTTTGCTGGACCATGCTCAATTTGGGAATTTCCAGGATGATTGATTTTGTGAACTGAAAATTCACATCCGTTAATTCAACATGTGAGTTTTGCGGGGCCACAAATCAATCAAATCAGAATCCTCAGTATCCTGTTTGATGCTAATTTACACCCCCAGGATACTAAGCATCAAAATGGAACATTACCCCATTGGATACTCCCGTGCGCCTAATTACCCCCAGATTGACTCCATATGTTGTCTTTTCCCATTTTCAGGCCGACTAAGCCCTGCAAAGGATGCTTTGAAAGGGCATCCAACAAGTGCCTGATGAGATGGCTACTGTTCTGCCCACGATTTCCCATGGAAAAGGATGGTTAAAAAACACAGGCCTGGTTATCGTCCAATGCCACTGGTATTCTTTGAATTCTATGGCATTCGCGCTACGAAAAGCTAAAGATCCGCCATGAACTAAGCATTGAAAAGGCAAAATGTGGATAGATTTGGGGTTCCTTAAAATGTGGGATCCACAAAACCATGGGTTTCAACAGTCTAAACTGGTCTAATGACTTGGATGATTTGGGGGTACCTCGAATTTAGGAGAGCCCCTACTTGTGACATGTCCTTTGATGCTGGAAGGATGAAGAGCCCAACGGTTCCTCCGTGGCAGATGGTACGCCTGCAAAATCGCAAGGTCCTACCCGGCCCTCTGGTGATCAAACGTGGCTGGAGAATCCCCGAACTAAATGCTGGTTGGTGGTTTGGAACATGGCTTTTATGACTTTCCATATCTTGGGAATGTCATCATCATCCCAACTGACTTTCATATTTTTCAGAGGGGTAGGTATACCACCAACCAGAAATGAAATTGTTTTTTTGATGAAGCTATGGGAAAACTATCAATAACTATTTAGTGGATTTAGCCAGGTTGCCACTTTTGATGAACCCGGAAGGTACGCAAGGTACGATTGTCCATTGCACCTAGAATCGGCATGTTGATCCCAATCCTAATTACATATGATTTATGTACAGCAAAATGTAGTGTCAGCATCACCAAAATCGCCAATTGTGATTTTTGTGGGTTGAAATCACCAATCACAAATCTTCCAATATGGGTACGATCAGATACGAAAAACACGCCCGTAAACTCCCTGGAGAGAATGGCCCTGGCCTATCTCCGCAGTGGTATTTGGATGTTCACCACAAGTCTTGTAACGATTAGGAACTGCGAAGACAGTGACACTTACCCTCTGGTAATCTAACATAGCTATGGTATATATGGACCATTTATAGATAATTTGATTTAGCTGTTAAAAGGCATGTGACACTTACACATGGTAGTCCTTCATAAAGATGCAACTGAATCCTTCCCACAAAGGCAACTCTCAGCAAACACTGTTGATGTGTTCGAAGAAACAAAGGTTGGGATTATCAAATTTCAACTTGTATTTTTTAATCGCCAAACCAAAAAAAACGCCACCATCATTCTCATAATGGCTTCGCATAGGAATATACAAGCTATTGTTAAGCTGAAGGGCTTATATATCAACCACTCCCTTGTAAAAGGACCATCAGCGGCTTGGGATCTCTTCCGGCAGGTCCTGACTTACAGAAGATGATTCGGACTGCGGGACGGAAGGATGATGATCATCCCCTGGTCGTCATATCTTTTTTGGAGATGATGGATATCAACGGGGGATGGGTTTATATAATGCTAAGAATAACTATTTGTCGTGTTTTTTTTCAATAAATATTTTATTGATGTTTTGGTTATGTACTGTAAGTTATCAACTCTATTACACTCTATAATATTATCCCTTTTTTCCCGCTAAATCACTATTTTGACTGGTTTAACTCCTCAACTGATCAACCGTCGCTGTTTGGCGCAGGAAGATCGCCGCTTTTGCTGCCCAGCGCCGCCTGAATGACGTCGGAGCCCAACCCGCAGTCAGAGGAGGCTGCCATTGTTGGATGGGTTTTATCATGTTTTAACCATCAAACATGGATAGTTTCACCAACAAACCATTTGGAGTGAACAATAAAAAAATGAGTTTGACAAATTGGTGATGGATAGTCTTGTGCCAACTTTTTGTCAACTAATCTTTGGGTGGATGAACTTGACGAGCAGTTTTTTTTAATGTTTTGCAGGGTTTCCAACGTTGGCCACGATATGAAGTTTGACACGTCACATTGTGCAATTGACATGCACGATTGACTCATGAATAAAAAGAGGTGGAATAGAACATGAAAAAGAACCACCTTCCAGTAATCAAAAGTGGCTAGCTACAAAATCGCGCATTTTTCATTGTTTATCCATTTATAGATCTTGAACACCATGGTGATCTTAATTCCGCCATAGACATGCCCCTGGTTTTCCACCGGTTTTTCCCGAGGCGGTCAAAGCTTTTGGGGAGATCTCTGCGAAGGGCTTGGAACCGAGCCGGGAGCTCCAGTGTCGACCAGAATCTACGGTCCATGATTTCAACCTCCGCCATCCGAGAACCTGAAAAAGGGATGCCATGCCAACCATGCCAACCATACCATGTTTTTCTCCAAAAATCATCCGCGTTCCACAGAGTTTTCGCCTTTCGTTGGGGACAAACATGGGGGTCAGCCAAGTCCTGGAACAAGTTTTTTTCACCTGGGGATGCCGGTGAATGCCGGTGATTCCGCTGTAAACAATTGGAATACCATGATTCAATAGCCGAGCCAATAGCCCTCCAACTGTGCCATATGAATTGCCAATTTTTTCCAGGATGACCATGGCCAGATCGACCCCATTGGTGAAATCGCATCCCACAGATCCAGCCAGATTTCCGAATCGAGGTGTGCAAGCCTACGCCAGCCTCATCAACGCACATGTGAACAGTTTCCCAGCCGCAGTCGGCAGGTTTTTGGTGGAACACGTGGTTTTATCACCATCTTATCTGGTGAGTTAACCATCAAAAACGATAAAATGCTGTGAAATGGTGATCATCATGGAATATATATAGTCATCTTATCCAACAATGATATTGTCAATCAATGGAATGGGTTAGTGCATTAATCACTATAATTCAGCCAGAATCTTGTGGGAGGTGTTTGATGTTTTTTTGTATAAGAGCGATATAATCGGGGTATAGTGGGGATATAGTTGGGATATAATGCGAAATGATGGTGACATAATGGAGATAAGATGGACATCTACTCAAGATACAATGGCATATAATTGGGATGTAGTGCTGGTATAATGTGATGTCTCAATGGTACACATGGGATCCTATCTACATGTTAATGGATTCTGTACTAAACTTGGGCTGGAAGCACACATTGCCAGTTCCTGAAAGGACATTCACAGACCCAGAGCTTTTGGGGTGAGCCCTCCTCCCACGAGCAGCCTCCGGTTGCCTGGAGTGAATGCGGTGTATTCGTTGGATGCATGGGGGCTTATGAATGGGTTTTAAAATGTTTTAATGGGAGGTTGTCCTTGCCTTATAATGTTGGTCGTTCAATCCACATATCTTTGTTTCTAAGGGTCCAAAAACCTTAGTTTCTCAACGTTGCCACAGGTACCTTCCATTAAAATAAACGCGGAGAACCAATGAGAACCCATGGGAACCCACCAGTTATAGATATTTATAGTTCATTTCATAAGGAAAAAACATGACTTGCTTTTCCATGATAGGCTATATAGCCATCCGTGCTCCCAATTCGAATGTCAGGCGGCGATATGTCAGGAGCTGCTTGGGGGCCCTGGTAGAAAGGCAGCATGGCTCACCACCCTTGGAGGCCTTGGAGAGTAACATGGCTTGCTGGAAACCCACCATTTCGTTCAATGATTTTCCCAGCTAGAAACTCCCGTTACATCCAATTAGGACTGTCAAATGGCCGAACGCCACCTGATCTGTAGAATAGCACATCTTAGATGTTATTAATAAATAAATAAATAAACAAATAAATCAATAAATAAATAAATAAGTGGCCATTTAAGATAAATCAAATCAAAGAAGTGAAATTGATATTACGTTGCTTTGTGGTCTTTCAAAATTGTGGAACTTAAGAATGTTGCGCTATCAGCCAGACATCAGCCAATGTCGTTGATTGCAGGGCTTTAGGGTGGCTACTGTGAGCGCAGTGGTTCTTTGCGACTAACTGGACCCATGCTTGGGGAATTTCAGGAAAACGTAGGGTTTCTGCAATTTTTTCCCGTCAATCGCTCCAATGATACAACCCTACTTTTGGTTTAATCCCTATTTGATTTGATTTTGCTTACTTTCTATCCCAATCACCTGAAAATCATGTGTCTTTTTCTGGTCATACAACTACACCCATAATCACATAATTTGGTTTAATTATCATAGAATTTGATAGAATTTGCCCATTCAAGCCATGCAATGCAAACTTAGAAATCATGATTTGAATCCCAACAGATCCCAAGATCTTGGAGGGTTTTCACACAGACCCTAGGGCCCTAGATCCAAGAAGATGCTGATGTTTTCAAGATGAAAATCCCTAGACACAGACCCTAGATATCCCTAGATATCCCTAGATATCCCTAAGCCTAGTTTTCACCCCAAGGCTGATGTTTTCAAGAAGATGCTGAGCGATGGACTTCGATCCAACGTGGTCGCGCGGTGGCCCGACGTTTGCCTTCACTGCTGGGTGCTGCGGGATTTTGTGAACGGTTAAACCATCACCATGTGGGGATGTGGGGATGGGAAAAAACATGAAAAAACCACCCAAAAAACAGCTGAAAGAGTGGGGATGGCTTATGAAATATTGGGTTGACCTCATAAAAATTGGGTTGACCTCATAAAAATTGAGTTTCTGTGGCAATTGCAGATGAAATATGATGAATTGACGCGCATCATTTAACCATTAAACCAAAACGTGTATGTTTGCGTGCAATGCAGATTGGTGCCACTGAAAAATATGAGGTACGCACGTTACTGTCCAAGGATATCATTAGGTATTTGGTGAAGTTTTGTGGACCTGGAAAAGGCCTGCAAAGACAACTTAAAGTGGTTTAAAGTGCATAAAGACAACATAAATCACCAAGACTGCAATATATATATATACATATATAGTTGTAATATATGTATATTTTATACAGGATTTTCAAGATACATTGTTGTTGTCCATCGCAGTTTGGTTTTCTCCACCATGATATTCCGAGAATGAAGGCCATTGCTTCGTTCATATTTCTGCATCATCGCTACCTCTGGCGATTGCTGAGACGGTTAAGCGAAACCCTGGTGATATATGCGTTGGATTTTCTCATGAATTGGATCCCAAACACTGCATTGGGTGTGTCGAATATTCAACGTGATGTTCGTGATGTTGGTTAGTCATGGCTAATCGGCTAATACATTTCATGATATTTAAACATGATTGAAACTATATTAAGCCTCCAGTCTTTGTGCTTTACCCCCTATTTGTAAGGTTAGGGAGATTATATTATTATGTTTACTTTGGGCCACCTGCGCAAGTCAAATTGATATCTCCATCCTAATCCTAGTAGTGTGGGTGTACAACTCCCCCTGAATTTGATGAAGGGAGTCTTAGAGGAGATTAGTTTTCTTGCAAATTCAACGCAATGTTCCCTGACTTAAAGAAAACCAGCAGGGAACCTATGTTTCATGGGCAGAACAAGATGTTTTTTGAGGTTTCCTGATAAGTTTAACTGGATGACACAACCAGTCGGCAGGTCTGCACTGCTTTGCTGAAGGGATACTGTCATCGGCTTAGAGCTGCTTTTTTATTCGGGGGTATGGGTAAAGATTTCAGGCCCAACTGGCGGTGAGCCCCGTGCATCTTCAGGCCGGGCTGGAGACGTGCCGGGTGCAATGGAAGTTCTTCGGATGCAGCTGAGCCCCAAAAAGGCTGGAAAAAAAGAGGGAATCATAATGAATCACATGTCATAGCCCAAGAAAAGGTGTTGGTTTGTTTCTGCATGTTTCTGCTGTTTTCCACAATTCGGCTAGTAGTACTGGTAGACCTTGATTTTGTTGCTGAACTGTCATTGGGCGGGGAGTTCGGTCATAATATCAACATCATGTACTAACCCCGAACAGATGCAGGCAAGCATAGGCAAGCTTAATTCATCCGCTGTTATCTATTGTAGTATAGTTTTTCTTGGTTATAAATGACACCATCGAGCTTCTCAGGTGCTCCAAAGCATGTTGAGCCAGGAGCCTCCAGTACCTCGGCAGAGCTTCAAGCATGGACCGCAATGAAAAAAAGGAGATAGGAGAAATATTTCCTGTTATAAAAGGAGAATCAAATTGATACCTACATGATACTGCTTAACATCATGTGTTTTTGCTCACCGTTGGCCGGAAAATTCTACCTGGCTCCGAGACACCCTGATCCCTGATCTCTTTTTGTATAGGTTAATTTAAAGATTGAACAGCCTTTGCTTAGTGTTTTTTTTTTCGGGAATGCAGGGAATGACCCATAATAATCATCCCATTCCCCCATTCCTAGGCACCAGCAAGTTTGTTCCCCATGACTTTGAACCCTCCACAAGGTGGAACCCATAGGTTTTTCACCTTTGGTTTATAATGCCAGCACCGGATTAATAACCCCCCCCCAGAAGGTCAGGGGTAGACCTTGTGGAGCCCCCCTTATAATGAGTCACTTTCTGAACCATAAAACTTTGGATATGGCCTACGTCAATTAGATCTTAATAGAATTCTATTGGATTTGTTAAAATCTCATGGATCAGAAAGGTGGTTGATTAATCAGGGGCAAACCCCGGTTATTATTAATGGGGGACATGGGCCCATGGGGGGTACCCTTTGGGAGCTATCCAAACTGATGATTATTTTATAAAGATTTTAATTAGAAATGGATCATTTGGGGAATAGTTGTTTTTTGAAATTTTCAATGATCAACTTAACGCTTAAATATAACAATGATGATAAAAAAAAAAAGTAAAATATAATTGGAAATAAATAGAATTGGAAATAAAACATGTTGGATAAAAAATGGATTTCAGCACTGGTGGTTTTTTAATCGGGGGGGGGTTATTAATCTGGGGGGACCACCTGTTTTTAAATTATATTTTTTTGGGGGGCAGTGGTGGTTGATTAATCGGGAGGGGTTTATTAATCCTCAATTGACATTAATTTCATGGGATATATACAAGTTATGTCTGCACTGAACAGTGTTTACACACCAACTGGGAACCAACACCTTGCACCCATTGTCAACATATTCAAGAATAGGTCTTCGTTTGCGCCCTTCTTTGGCCAATTCAATGTCTAAATAAAATCTAAAGTCTAAAATCATCGAGACAAGCCCGGAAAACAATAACAACAACTACACAAAACTAAACATTATCAAAAAAAACAAGTTGTAAACATGTTCTTATTCCCCCTGCCTCCCATAGATTTCTATAGATTTTAGAAATGCTTGGTGTTTCTATGGTGTTCAATGGGTTGGATGGAAAATCTTAGCCGGGAACCATCGATTTTCCTATGATTCATATGGGTGTTTCCTGCAATTTGTCCCAAAGGAACAAGCCATTGACTATCATGTTTCCATTAAATCCAATTGAATCCAATTAAATCAGAAAATCCCATTAATTCCCATTAAATCACCATATAATTATACATTTAAAAAACGGATCTTGCCGCTGTGACTGTGACCCGGTCAAGCTTTGCCCTCGGGGCCCCGTGGGCGCGACATGTCGAAGCAGGCGCAACGAAATCAACAGCCACTCGGGCCCGCAGAGGATGCACCCAATGGAGTTGAGTTTTTTTGAAAAAAACATGTACTACCCTGTAGACTTTCGAGTGGCTATGTTTTAAGGAGGCCACAAGTGTTTGGGCCTACCTTTTGAAAATCGGCTGGGTGGTACATGAAAAAACGCCTTGAAAAGTGTCTCAACTACTTCTTGTGGTGCTAATTCCTGAAACATAAAAAACTTTGGATTGCACTATTCTTAGGCATCATAACTTGGGGACTATGAACATTTACATATTTCTTGTGCAGAGGAGCACTGCAAAAATGGTGGTGTTTACCCCCGGGGGTCACCCGCGGTCCGCTTTCATCTCAACCACGATTTGATTGGTCACATTGTCCAGCTTGATTTCACACATGTGAAGATCAGTTAAGGTTCACATTTTTGCCGAACTTAACCAATTTTTGACCAACCTGACCAACTTTTGAGCAACTTGACCAATTTTTCACCAGCATGACCAAGTTGGTCAATTTCTGACCAACTTGACCAACTCTTGACCTACTTCACCAAGTTGGTCATTTTTGACCAACTTGACCAACTTTTGACCAACTTGACCTAGTTGGTCAATTTCTGACCAACTTGACCAACCTTTGACCAACTTGACCAAGTTGGTCAATTTTGTGACCAACTTGACCAATTAATGAACAATTTGACCAAGTTGGTCAAATTTTGAGTAACTTGACGACTTTTGACCAAGTTGGTCATTTTTGGTCAACTTGACCAACTTTTGACCAACTTGACCAAGTTGGTCAATTTTGTGACCAACTTGACCAAGTTGGTCAAATTTTGAGTAACTTGACGACTTTTGACCAAGTTGGTCATTTTTGATCAACTTGACCAACTTTTGACCAACTTGACCAAGTTGGTCATTTTTTACCAACTTGACTAAATTTTGACCAACTTGACCAACTTTTGACCAACTTGACCAACTTTTGACCAACTTGGCAAACTTTTGACCAAGTTGGTGATTTTTCACGAACTTGACCAACTTTTGACCAAGTTGGTCATTTTTGACCAACTTGACCAATTTTTGGCCAAGTTCGTCATTTTTTACAAACTTTGTCAATTTCTGGCCAAGTTGGGGATTTTTGACCAGCTTGAGCAGCTTGACCAACGGTTGGCCAAGTTGGCGATTTTTTGACCAACTTGACCAACTTTTGGCCAAGTTTGTCATTTTTGACCAACTTGACCAACTTTTGACCAAGTTGGTCATTTTTGACCAACTTGGCAAAAAATTGGCCAAGTTGGTGTTTTTTGACCAACTTCGTCAATTTTTGGCCAAGTTGGTGGTTTTTGACCAACTTGGTCAACTTTTGACCAAGTTGGTGATTTTTGACCAACTTGGTCAATTTTTGACCAAGTCGGTAATTTTTGACCAACTTGGTCAATTTTTGACAAAGTTGGTGATTTTTGACCAACTTTGCCAATTTTTGACCAAGTTTGTGATTTTTGACCAACTTGGTCAATTTTTGGCTAAGTTGGTGATGTTTGACCAACTTGGTCAATTTTTGACAAAGTTGGTCATTTTTGACCAATTTGGCCAGATTGACCAAGTTTTGACCAAGTTGCTCATTTTTGACCAACTTGACCAATTTTTGACCAACTTTACCAACTTTTGACCAACTTTACCAACTTTTGACCAACTTTACCAACTTTTGACCAGCTTTTGACCAACCTGACCAACTTGACCAACTTGACCAACTTAAGGGCACAAGATGTGTTTGCAGCCAAATTTAGACCATTCAGAAGTGTTTTTCGTGGTAAATTTTGAAAAATTTACCAGCAAAACTACTTCTGAATGGTCTAAATTTGGCTGCAAACACTTCTTGTGCCCTTAAGTTGGTCAAGTTGGTCAGGTTGGTCAAAAGTTGGTCAAAAAGTTGGTAAAGTTGGTCAAAAGTTGGTCAAAAGTTGGTCAAGTTGGTCAAAAATGACCAACTTGGTCCAAAGTTGGTCAAGTTGGTGAAAAATGACTAACTTGGCCAAATTTGTCAAAAGTTGGTCAAGTTGGTCAAAAGTTTGTCAAAAATCACCAACTTGGTCATCAAAAATGACAAACTTGGTCAAAAGTTGGTCAAGCTGGTCAAATTGGTCAAAAATTACCAACTTTGTCAAAAATTGACCAAGTTGGTCAAAAATCACCAACTTGGCCAAAAATTGACCAAGTTGGTCAAAAATCACCAACTTGGCAAAAAATTGCCTAAGTTTGTCAAAAATCACCAACTTGGTCAAAAGTTGACCAAGTTGGTCAAAAACCACCAACTTGGCCAAAAATTGACCAATTTTGTCAAAAATCACCAACTTGGCCAATTTTTGGCCAAGTTGGTCAAAAATGACCAACTTGGTCAAAAGTTGGTCAAGTTGGTCAAAAATCGCCAACTTAGCCAAAAGTTGTTCAAATTTGTCAAAAAGCCACCAACTTGGCCAAAAGTTGGTCACGTTGGTCAAAAATGACCAAGTTGGTCAAAAGTTGGTCAAAAGTTGGTCAAAAATGACAAACTTGGTCAAAAGTTTGTCAAGTTGGTCAAAAATGGCCAACTTTGTCAAAAGTTGGTCAAAAGTTGGTCAAGTTGGTCCAAAATGACGAACTTAGTCAAATTTTGGCAAATTTGTCAAAAAGGACAAACTTGATCAAGTTGTTCAAAAGTTGGTCAAGTTGGTCAAAAATGACCAGCTTGGTCAAAAGTTTGTCAAGTTGGCCAAAAATGACCAACTTGGTCAAGTTGGTCAAGTTGGTCAAAAATGACAAACTTGGTCAAAAGCTGGTCAAGTTGGTCAAAAATGACCAACTTGGTCAACTTGGCCAAAAGTTGGTCAAGTTGGTCAAAAATGACCAACTTGGCCAAAAGTTGGTCAAAAGTTGGTCAAGTTGGTCAAAAATGACAAACTTGGTCAAAAGTTGGTCAAGTTGGTCACAAATTGCAAATTTGGTCAAAAGTTGGTCAAGTTGGTCAAAAATGTCAAACTTGGTCCAAAGTTGGTCAAGTTGGTCAAAAATTGCAAATTTGGTCAAAAGTTGGTCAAGTTGGTGAAAAATTGACCAACTTGGTCAAGTTGGTCAAAGGTTGGTCAAAGGTTGGTCAAGTTGGTCAGAAGTTGGTCAAATTGGTCAAAAAATTGACCAACTTGGTCAAATTGGTCAAAGGTTGGTTGGGTTGGTCAAAAATGACTAAGTTGCTCAATTTGTCACCAACTTGACCAAGTTTTGACCAACTTGACCAAGTTGGTCAATGTTTGACCAACTTGACCAAGTCATTGGGACGCCTGTGTCCCCAAACTGATTTCACATGGTTTAACTATGTTTAGCTAAGCGCATGCATGTTCTGATTACAAACAGAAAAGGAAATGAACCAGAAATTGTCAACGAAAGGATGAACTGCAGGTGGAAGGTGCTCAAAATGTACCAAAACAACCCTCGTATGGAAATAAAGGCTTCACAAGTGGTTGTGCCCAACACCCCTCTGCCGTCAGTTGACAAAAAGCATTCCAACAGGGCAATGCTACTTCTTTGTGCACTATTTTTTTTTAAACCTTAAAACGAGGCAACTTGAAATTCTATATACTACCCTCTAATTATTGAACATACCTATGGAACATAGTAGACAAATAGGCCCATTTATTGGTTTGATGTTTTTTGTTGATGGAACACATGTGTGTTTATGACTGGGCGGATTGTCGCCACACAATCAATAAGGATCGGAAGTTCTGCATTTTTTGGGGGGGATTCTATGGGTTCCAGAGGGGTCAGCCCATCACCAAGAGGAGCACCATTTGTCAATGGAGTAGTCATGATTAGAATTCTGCTGGTGTTTGGAACATGGCTGGGTTATTTTCCATAATATATGGGATAATCCTTCCCAACTGACGAACTCATATTTTTCAGAGGGGTAGGTATACCACCAACCAGTCTGTCTCTTGCGTATGTTTCCGGTGCAGTCGCCATGATCCTCATCAAATTTCACCATTGATGCTGTTCAAACCCACCTCTTTGCCAGCGAAGTTCTTTTTTGTCTAATTCTCATGTTTGGTTGGTGAGATCCAGCTAGATATAGAAGATAGAAATCACATTAAATTCACAAAAAAATAACAGAAAAGCAGAAAATCCCGCTTCTTTAGTAGGATTCCATTTAAGTTCTATCTTTGGGGCTGTCAGCTTCCCTGATCGCTCTCGTTTCCCGAGGAAACGCGCTGCCAAACGCGATGCCAAGGCAGCAGAAGAAGCCGCCAATGCAGGCGATGGGAAGTTCAGCAGCTGGGCACAGATGTTGATTTGGACCAGCAAAACATTTACCCTCTGGTTATTTAACGTAGCCATGGAGAATGGTCCATTTCTAGATGGTTTACCTATTAAAAATGG